CATCAGAATGAGAGTCCAAACAGCTGACAAAAACATCACAATAATCCACACCACTCCAGTCCATCAGTTAACATCTTGTGAAGTGAAAAGCTGCATGTTTGTAAGAAACAAATCCAACATTAAGACGTTTTAAACCATTGTGTCTGGATAAAATACGAGTCCTCCATCCATAATATTGCTTTTTCCTATGGAAAATGTCGTGTAATCTGAATCAGGAGAGAAATCTGCACCGATCAAGCACTGTTTACAAGCCAAAACAGTTCTAAACACACCGCTTTTGCCTTCTCAATGCTACATTTCTCCAAATCTGTTCAGATGAAGAAACAAACTCATGTACATCTTAAATGGCCTGAGAGTGAGAACATTTTCAGTAAATTTAAATTTTTGGGTGAACTGATCCTTTAAGGAGGCACTAACATGAGAAGAGTCAGCAATTTAAAGTTGTAAGGAATAATGAATGCATATAAGTTTCATCTGGTGGGGCAGAGAAAGCGGAAGCAAATTTGTTTTCATGAAAACATGCATTGCTGTTCAAGCCTTCAAGAACAAGAGACAGCAGGACTGAGTGAGAGAGCAGTGAAGAGCCTGTTATCTGCTCCAGGAGCTTCTGTCTGTCTGCTGTCGGTGTTTGCCTGTGGCGTGAGCTCATTCTCGTAGAGACGGATCACTGTCTGTCAGGACTCTTCAGCCTCTGGAATCACACAGCCTCTCGAGCGGCTTCCTCTCAGGATCACAAAGACATGTTTCCTGAACCATTCATTTTCTCAGGACATACGGTGCTGGTGCCAGTAACGACACCTCTTTCTTGAAGGCATTTTTGCTTTTTGGTTTTGGGTGAATTCACAGGAATTTAATAACCAGTGATCTCAGCACCAGCTTTTTCTTTTTCTCAGGGGAAAAATATGATAATTACATATACAGTATTTTTCAGATAAATGGGACCTGTACAGTATTAGATGGGATGACATCAGCAATCTTTTTCATTTATCTATTTATTGGATATTTAATATTATTGAATTATTATTATTATTATTCGCTTATTTCCCCGTCATCTAGCACAAACTTAAAGGGAAATCGAAAGATTTAACCCTTAAAGGGTTAGTTCACCCAAGAATGAAAATGAGGCTGTGTTTTACTCACCCCCAAGGCATCCTAGGTGTATATGACTTTCTTCTTTCAGACGAATCCAGTCGGAGTTATATTAAAAGTTGTCTTTGATCTTTCAAGCTGTTTAATAGCAGTCAGCGGGTGTTGCATTACATCAGTCCAAAATAAGTGAAATAAAAAGCGCCCATCCATAAAAAAAGTGTCTCACACGGCTCCGGGGCGTGAACAAAGTCCTCCTGTAGCTAATCGATGCGTTTTTGTAAGAAAAATAAGCATATTTAAAACGTAATACTCAATTTAATCTAGCTTGCGCTCACTGTTGTACACGGAAGCAGTTCCGGGCGGATGACGTATGAGATCAGCTTTGCGCATGCACCGCTCAGAAGTGACGCACGCGGAAACGCAGCGGAGAGATCAAAACAAAACAACGGTCACTAATTAGAAGTACAAAACGAGATTTTTTAAAGAAGAATGTCGGAGGATTTCGATATATGCCAAGTGGAGACTGGTTTTCCTTTGCTAAAGTAAGGAAACTTTGCTTCCTTTGCTCCTGTAAACAAACGTTGGTTTTCACGAGACTCACCGGCGCATGCGCAACGCTGACCCCATACGTCATTCCCCCGGAGCTGCTTCTGTGTACAACTGCTGGCGCAAGCTAGATTAAAGTGATTATTACGTTTTGAATATGGATATTTTTCTTACAAAAACGCTAGAGGATTCTGTACAGATTCGCTACAGGAGGCCTTTGTTCACCCCCCGGAGCCGTGTGAGACACTTTTTTTATGGATGGGCGCTTTTTATTTCACTTCTTTTGGACTGAAGCACTGCAACACCCGCTGACTGCAATGATAGAGTTTGGAATAGCCAGGACAATTTTTAATATAACTCCGACTGGATTCTTCTGAAATAAGAAAGTCATATACACCTAGGATGCCTTGGGGGTGAGTAAAACACAGCCTAATTTTCATTTTTGGGTGAACTAACCCTTTAAAGAGTGTCTCTTAAAACATTCTAGCCCTTTAAGAGCATGTTTGAGCCATTTGCTAAGAGCGTAGTGATGGAATAAAAGTTTGTTTATTTATTTATTTATTGTTTTTAACTATTTTATCCCATTTATTTTTTATTTATATTTAATAAAACAGCATCAAACTTTAAACAATTACTTAATTCTGCCAGTAATTTTAATTGGCCATAATAAGTAATAATTTATAAGTAATTTATTAATAATAGTCCATAACATAAAAATAATTCAGCTAGATTTTAACGTCACATTCCTTAAAAAAAATAGTTCACTGAAAAATATATTTTGTGGCACGGAAATGTCAAATCTGAATATTCTAATATTCTGCACTTCCTCAAAGGAAAAATGTTCTGAGGATGAGCAGTTGATATTTTTGGGTGAACTGTTTAATTTTAATACCAAAGTTGTGCAAAAATAAAAGCACGCAGAGGTCAACACACTGTCAGCTGTAATGGAGTTTAATTTGTTTACTTGCTGACAGCATTTCAACCTTGATTACACTTCATGTCCTGGAATTCTACAAAACCCTCAAAAATAAAGCAGCACATGATTGGCATTTTGAGGGCTTTCATCAGAAAAAGTGCTGATGTCTTGAGGATATCTTGTCTCATATTTCTAACAATCTGTTGGGCTGTTCTGTCTTTGTTCTTCGGTGCTGTTTGCCTCCCGTCGGGCCTCTTTCAGAGCCGTATCCTCAGCTTTCATCAGTCCGTTCTCTCTGTGTTCTGCTGGAGGTGTCATGCTGACCTGAGAGAGGCTGCTATTGCTGCTGCTGCTGACTCTTCACTCTATTGCTTTTTTCTCCTCATTCTGTCTGTCCTAGCCCAAACTTCACTGGCATCACAGTAAAGGAGCATCAGGCCAAAGCTTTCACCCGCTCACTACAGACTCTCAGAAATACACTGATCTCTTACTGGAGAGCCTTTGAGCCGTGCCTTTATGAAACTGTAGACTGTTGCTCTGTGGTGTTTAGGATGTTTTCTAAGTAGATTTGGGCGTTGCTATGCAGGACTAGGGATTTTTGTTGGGCGTTGCTATGCAGTTGCTAGGGTGATCAGGTTGTTTACTGATGTGTTCTGGGTCTTTTTTTAGGGTGTACTCACACTAGGCGTTTTGAACCGTGCCCGAGCGCGTTTGACCCCCAAAGCCCGGTTCGTTTGACCAGTGTGAGCGCTCCGTGCCGCGTTCGGGCGCAGTTCGTTTAGCCGGCCCTGGCCCGGTTGGAAGAGGTGGGCCAGGGCACGGTTCGGTTGGGCTCGGGCGCGGTGCGCATGCAGTGTGAGCGCTAACCACGCCGGAGCACTGAAAAGATATTATTTTGTGTGCGCTACTAACATCACTATCATCGCAAACATATTCTATTACTACTACTACACGACACTTTTCAATTAATTTAATTTAATCATGTATATTTAGGTTTATAATGGCTCTGGTTCTTACCTTATTGATGAACAGGAAATTTAGTTTGCGAGTAAAGCTGCAAATTATTTCATTAACGTCAGCTGCCTCCGTAATAATTTTCTGATACATACAAGTGAAAATCAATGCACGGCATAAATTATAAATTAATTATTATTAATTATTCGGCAGAATATTTGCGAAAGTGGTTTTCTCCGTTATCTCATACATGACGTAAGCGTGCTCCGGCCCAGAATGTTTAGTGCAAGTTTGAGTGCAGGCCAGCGGGGGAGTGGGGAGGGGGGATAATCGCGCTCGGTTCAAGGCAACCGTGGCTAGTGTGAGTACACCCTTAGTGTGTTGCTATGCGGTTGCTGGGGTGTTCTAAATACGTTTAGGTTGTTGCTATGTGATTGTTAGGGTGTTCTGAGTGGGTTTAGAATGTTGCTATGCATGACTAAAGAGATTGGTGTTGCTGTGCAGTTCTTAGGGTGTTCTAAATAAGTTTAGAATGTTGCTATGTGGTTGTTAGGGTGTTCTAAAAGGGTTTAGAATGTTTCTATGCAGGATTAAGGAGACTGGTGTTCCTATGCAGTTGCTAGGGTGTTGTAAATAAGTTTACATTTGCTATGTGGTTGTTAGGTTGTTCTAAATGGTATTAGGAAGTTGCTATGCAGGACTAAATAGATCGATGTTGCTATGCGGTTGCTGGGGTGTTCTAAATACGTTTAGGTTGTTGCTATGTGATTGTTAGGGTGTTCTGAGTAGGTTTAGAATGTTGCTATGCATGACTAAAGAGATTGGTGTGGCTGTGCAGTTGTTAGGGTGTTCTAAATAAGTTTAGAATTTTGCTATGTGGTTGTTAGGGTGTTCTAAAAGGGTTTAGAATGTTTCTATGCAGGATTATGGAGACTGGTGTTCCTATGCAGTTGCTAGGGTGTTGTAAATAAGTTTACATTTGCTATGTGGTTGTTAGGTTGTTCTAAATGGTATTAGGAAGTTGCTATGCAGGACTAAATAGATCGATGTTGCTGTGCAGTTGCTAGGGTATTCTAAATAAGTTTAGGTTGTTGCTGTGTGGTTGTTAGGGTGTTCTGAGTTGGTTTAGATTGTTGCTATGCAGGATAAAGGGGATCAGTGTTGCTATGCAGTTGCTAGGGTGTTCTAAATAAATTTAGGTTGTTGCTATGTGGTTGTTAGGGTGTCCTGAGTGGGTTTAGAATGTTGCTATGCAGGACTAAAGAGATTGGTGTTGCTATGCAGTTGCTTGGGTGTTCTAAACAAGTTTAGGTTGTTCCTGTGTAGTTGTTGGGGTGTTCTGAGTGGGTTTAGAAAGTTTCTATGCAGGACTAAAGATATTGGTGTTGCTATGGTGTTCTAAACAAGTTTAGGTTGTTGATGTGTGGTTGTTAGGGTGTTCTGAGTGGGTTTAGAAAGTTGCTATGCAGGACTAAAGTTATTGGTGTTGCTATGCAGTTGCTATGGTGTTCTAAACAAGTTTAGGTTGTTGATGTGTGGTTGTTAGGGTGTTCTGAGTGGGTTTAGAAAGTTGCTATGCAGGACTAAAGTTATTGGTGTTGCTATGCAGTTGCTATGGTGTTCTAAACAAGTTTAGGTTGTTGATGTGTGGTTGTTAGGGTGTTCTGAGTGGGTTTAGAAAGTTGCTATGCAGGACTAAAGATATTGGTGTTGCTATGCAGTTGCTATGGTGTTCTAAACAAGTTTAGGTTGTTGATGTGTGGTTGTTAGGGTGTTCTGAGTGGGTTTAGAAAGTTGCTATGCAGGACTAAAGATATTGGTGTTGCTATGCAGTTGCTATGGTGTTCTAAACAAGTTTAGGTTGTTGATGTGTGGTTGTTAGGGTGTTCTGAGTGGGTTTAGAAAGTTGCTATGCAGGACTAAAGATATTGGTGTTGCTATGCAGTTGCGAGGGTGTTTTAAATAAGTTTAGGTTGTTGCTGTGTGGTTTCTAGGGTGTTCTAGGAATGCTTGCTTGGTATTTCGATTGGTTGCCAGGGTGTCGCTATGCAGTTTCTGGGGTGTTCTGAGTGTTTTTAGTGTGTTACTATGTGGTTGCTAAGTGGTCACTGAACTAAACAAACCCCCCTTAAGTCCGTCTCATAGTCTGATCTGTAGACATGACTTGTGTTTTGAGAAGAGCAAACAGCACTAATAGAACAGGAGCGCGTGTCCCTCGCACTCCTTCATCTGTCGCTGTACTCCGTTCACATCTCGTTCAGCGAGCGTCCCGTGAGCTGACAGGTGTGGGTGTTAACAGACTCGGCTTCCTCTTCTGTACGAGTGCGAGGGCACACTGTCTGTCTGCCTCTCTCGCTCTGTCACCGTGGACACTAGAGACACAAATTATAAAGCAGAGCTTAGCAGGAAACAGGAGAGGTGAGGGAGGAGGGCTACAGGAAGTCAGGAGGAGGAGAAGTAATTACGGGAGCGGGTCAGTGGAGTCAGCATGTGAATGGATAGATCAGTCACATGATCCTTCAGAAATCATTCTAATATGCTGATTTAAAAAAACAATGCTGCTTCATATTCACGTGGAAGCCATGCTATTTATTTATTTTTCAGGATCCTTTGATAAATAGAAAGTTCAAAAGAACAGCATATTTAATCAATCCTTGCTGAATAAAAGTATTAATTTCTTTATGTAAACTGTAGACATGTTTACCAGAATAACATTGGTATTGCTAAATTAAACCCCAGATCACACAGAGTTGAATAACAACCTGGTCAGACTCGAGATGAGTCATGTGATGTGCTTTAGCATGCTAGCATGCATCTGATCTGCATCATCTCTGTCGCAAAAATGATTAAACGTCAGGAACGAGGGTCAAACGAAGGAATGAAGAGGGAGTTGTGAGAGGCTTTACTGTGTGTTAACTGAGCTCTGACGCACCTCGTCCTTGTCATCATAAATTACCTCTGGATGAGAGCGTATTGACAAAGCAATCAATGGTGGCTCAGAATTCAGCCGAGGGCCACAGGCATCCCAATATGTCAGCGTGTGATGACACAGCGCTAATGAATGGATGCCAGGCCCTCGGAGGTAAAGCATAAGAGGTCTGTCTTGATGCCGCTTTCTTCACACTTTCTTTGAACGAGAGCGCAGTTTCGGGACGCGTCTGCGCTCTCGTCTTCTGTCCACTTCCTAAACTCGTTTGACGTTGATTCTGAACAGCTTCTGCTCCTCTTTCTGAATCACAGATCATCCGTTCGCTCCTGTTAGAACAGTATTGTGAGGGAGGCTAGCAAACCGTAAATGTTTCCAATTCCAGGAGAAGAAATTGAAATGTTCTGATTTCATACCTCTGACTTTATGAAGACATCTTGCTAAAGTCTTTTTCTTATATCTTCGTATTTCTCTTTTACAGGTATCAAGACATGAGGCGACAGATTGGCTTCGAGATCCGAGACATGTGGTACAACCTGGGTGAGCCGACCTTTACCAGAACATTATTAAATCAGACAAAAATAGATGTAAAGTACACAAGACTATGTCTGTCTGCAAGTTCTTTACACATAAGTGTTCATTATTGCATTCTGGTTTATCATAATCTGCTTGTTTTTGTATAATGTTCTATAATGTCTTAGTTTTGTATAGTTTTTGCATAGCAGCTCAGTGAAGTAACTGCTAATCACTCTACATTCTCACATGATTTTCAGCTCAAAATCACTAATTCATATGTCCACCTATGCGTTTCATAAAGAGCTGTTTTGTTAGTAGGAGTACAAATTAAAGATGCAGTGACGCCAAAATAAAAGATTGTGGTTTTTAGACAATGTTTGATAGCTTTCAGCTCATCTACAGTGGGTACGGAAAGTATTCAGACCCCCTTAAATTTTTCACTCTTTGTTATATTGCAGCCATTTGCTAAAATCATTTAAGTTAATTTTTTTTCCTCATGGGTGCTTCTACTAAATACTGAGCATTTTTCAGTTTTTCTTTTTTAATAAATTTGCAAAAATGTCAACAATTCTGTGTTTTTCTGTCAATATGGGGTGCTGTGTGTACATTAATGAGGAAAAAAAATTAACTTAAATGATTTTAGCAAATGGCTGCAATATAACAAAGAGTGAAAAATTTAAGGGGGTCTGAATACTTTCCGTACCCACTGTATATGCTTATGTGGTTTTTACAAAGTCAACTTTTTGCGCAATTAAAATACTGTTCAAAAGTTTTGGGTTGGATAAGGTTTTTAAACATTTTTGAAAGTCTCTTCTGCTCACCAAGGCTTTATTTGTTAAAAAAAATACAGTAAAAAAAGTAAAATTATGAAATAATATTACTATTTAAATCAACAGTTTTCTATTTGAATATATTTTAAAATATAATTTATTCCTGTGATGCGCAGCTGAATTTTCAGCATCATTACTCTAGTCTTCAGTGTCACATGATCCTTCAGATCATTCTAATATGCTGATTTGCTGCTTAAGAACCATTTCGTCTCATTATTATTTTTATTAATGTTGAAAACAGTGATACTGTAGTTTCAAGATATTTTGATGCATTGAAAGAACATTTATTTGAAAGAAAAATCTTCTGTAATATTATAAATGTCTTTACCGTCACTGTTGATCAGTTGAGTGCATCCTTGCTGAATAAAAGCATTAAGTTCTTTAAAAAATAATAATAATAATTCAAAACACATTTAAAATATGTAGCTTTTCTATGAGATGCTTGGTAAAAGGCTCAACCCCCATGTGTCCCAAAAAACCATGGCATCTTTAAAAGGTTTCCCTGCTTTCACGTACCACAAACTTCTGTATCGTTTATTTGTGTAAGGCTTGCGTCTGGCACATTTGCATTGCTTACAGTTTTAGCACCGATTCAGGCGGGTTATTTTTCGACCGAGACACCTCACGGTTATTTAGAGTAGTGCAAACGGAAATGCTCTGAAAGTGAAGGTGCTAATTAGTGGCAGGACAGTTGAGGAAGTACCGCTGTGAAAGTATTTTCGGCTCCCACGTTCCTCTCTGAAGGAATTTTTGCCACCTCACGCCTTTGGTTGTTCATTAGCTGGCGGGTTTAGTCACAGGCATCAGAGATTCAGAGATGTTGGGCTGTATTCAGCGCTGTGGTTGCGCGAAACTCTGAAGATTAGTCTTTTGTCTTTTGAGAGCTGTAGAAATCGTGCCTCCGAAATAGAAGTTGCACACAGCTCACCAAAATACATAAAAGTTGTTGTTAGACACAAATAGGCACTGCGAGGAAGTAGCAGAGAGCTGATATTCCCTGTGCTGCTGCACCTGCCGGCAAAACTATCACAAACAGATCCTGTGTGTACGGCATAAAACACACCGAAAAGATCTTAAACAAATCAACTGAAGGATTCAGGCATGCTAACTGGTTTCTTCTCAACATCCTGCAGGTCCACACAAAATCAAGTTTATCCCTGAGATGGTGGGTCCGATTCTGGAGATGACGCTGGTTCCTGAGATCGAGCTGCGTAAAGCCACCATTCCCATCTTCTTTGACATGATGCAGTGCGAGTTTCATTTCAGACGCTGCTTCCAGACGGTCAGTTCTCACAGACTGTGTGATTTCTGGGATAAATTTGCATACTTGTACT